TGTGTGTGTGTGTGTGTGTGTGTGTGTGTGTGTGTGTGTGTGTGTGTGTGTATTCCTAAAACTCAGAAAAACCATTATAAGGGTGGGATGAGGAGAGCAGGAAAGAGCTGGGTCCTGTGGGCCTTAATAGTTAGAGTTAGGGATTTGAGTTTTCCTTCTGTGAGGAGTCAAAGCTGTGGAAGGTTTGGAGTGGAGGAAGGAAGGATATGACTTAAATGTGAAGAGATAATCCAGCCGGCCATGGTGGTGTGCATCTGTATCCCAGAACCCACCAAACAGAAGCAGGAGGAACAGGAGTTCAAAGCCAGTCTAAGTTACATAGGCAGTTTGAGGACAGTCTGAGCCACATGAGAACCTGTCTCGAAAAAGGGGAAGAGGGTGCAAAGAAAGTTGGGGGGCTGGGATGGGGAGGGGGGAGGAAGATAATAGGAAGGAAGAGAAAAGGAATCACTAGAATCCTTGCTCTAGTTCCTCCGTGGAAAGGACTATGCCTTATTCCTGGGTTGTCTCCAACGCAAGTGCTAAGTATATATGAACAAAAAAAACACATTAATCAGTCCTGGAAACTCATGATGATTGGACCTGTGATGGGGTAGCCTTGTCAGGCCAAGTTTGATCCTCTTTTAACGTCACCACTTTAGGTCAGAGGCCTGGCTTCAAGTACTGGTATGACAAGGAGTGGTTGAGCCGGGGACATATGCATGGCCTGGCATTCCTAGAAGAGAACTACTCCCATCAGAATGCCAAGAAGATTGTGGCCACCCATCAGCTTCTTGGTGATGTTCAGAGAGTGATTGAGGTTCTTCACGGCTTGCAGCTCAAGATGAGCATCTTGCAGTAAGTGTGGTGCCTGCAGCTTTGGGTGGGAATTTACTTTGGCTCTTGGTTGAGAGAAAAGAAAGTGGAAGACCACAAAGACTGATAAGTTTGAGACCTGTACCAAAAATTCTGTTGCTGTTGCTGAGCCCGTGCTCAGGGGTACAGTGTTTGCCTACAGTGAGTAGGTCTCTGGAGGATGGTGTCCTCCTCGCTACAGTTGCTGTGCCCTCAAGCTACCACTTACAGTCGTCCTTTTCTCTTCGTCTGTATTCTTTCTCTTTCTTCCTTTTCGTGATCAAAAGTTGTAAGAGAAGTTCTGCATAGTTAAGAAATGAAGGGTGGGGCGGTGAGGTGGCTCAGTGGATACAGGCGCTGGCAGCCAACACTGGTGAGCTGGCTTTAAACCCTGGCTTAATGTGTTAGAAGGAAAGGACTGGCCTTCAAGTTGTTCTTTGACCTCCACACATATGTCTTGGGCAGTGGTAGGTAGGTAGGTAGGTAGATAGATAGATAGATAGATAGATAGATAGATAGATAGATAGATAG